TTTGGGTTTCTTTTGCTTGGCCCCAGAAAGGGAGACCTAGGAACAATGAGAAGTCGCAAAGAAACAGACTTTGTGTCCATGTAAGGGAAAGTATTCTATCGATTAGACCTGTTTAAAAGTATAAGAAGCTGCCTTAGGAAGGGGGGGGTCTCTCTGTCACTTGAAGTTTTCAAGTAGGGGGTGGACGTAAGGGTGAATGACCACTTTCTGAGAATGCCGTAGAAGGGAATCTCAGCCAGAAATGGATTGGACTAGCGTTCCTTTGAGGTTCTCAGATTCTGCTGCTCTGAATTGAACGGGAATACATTGGGAGAGAATTGCAGCTCCCTTTGTCTGCCATCTCTCCAATACCCTCATGTTGACTTCTTCCTTGCTTTTTTGCCCAAAGCAGTGGGGAGTCAGAAATGGGCTGTATTCTGAAATCTACCAATCCATGATAACGTTCTATGACTTCCTATTGTCAAAGGTTGGGCCAGCCCTAATCTTTGCCTCTTCCCTGCAAACCACAGGATCACGGTTTTAGAGCTAGAAAGGACCTTTGAAGTCATTGAATCCAACTTCTTCATTTTAAAGATGAGGAAACCAAGGCAAACAGAGGTTAAGTGACTTGCCCAGGGTCACAGGATTCCAAGTCTTCTTGATTCCAGGTTCGGTGCTTTATTTATTACATCAGGCTATCCATCTAAGTTTATCCCTTCCACCTTTGAATAAACACAGACACCAGACATACAAAGTAGAGACACTCTAAGGCTTGTGGCTGAAGCAGGACAACCCCAGAGGGAAACCAGGCTTGTGGAAAGCACTGAGGCTTGAGTCCATGGAAATTCTGCCTTAGAGGTCTGGCATCATGAGCAGTTTTCTAGCCTGATCTATGGAAGTTGTCCTGCTCTAAGCGTCTCAGACTTCCAGAGAAGTAATGGAACACAACTGTTGTTTGGCTGCCTGGGAAGCAGGAAAATCATCCAGAGAGAATTCTTCCAACTTCTCTTGCCCCTCACCTGGCTCTTAGTTTTGACACCTGGAGATCAAACTTCTGAGTAGTTTCCTAATCTTATTTCTCATTACAGCCACCAAAGTGAACCTTTCCTGTTCCAACCTAAATAAATTAGAGCGGCCCTGGGCTAGTGGCAAGAGCAGGGCAGGTCTTGGATGTTCTTTTTTTTTTTATTTAAATTTTTTTTTTTTTAATTTTTAGGCAATTGGGGTTAAGTGACTTGCCCAGGGTCACACAGCTAGTAAGTGTCAAGTGTTTGGTCTGAGGCCGGATTTGAAATCTGGTCCACCTGACTCCAGGGCCAGTGCTCTATCCCCTGCACCACCTAGCTGCCCCTCCGATGTTCTTAAAGATTGGCAGAAAAGGTGGTGCCATTGTCTTCCTAAACTCAAGCCTTTCTAATCTCTTAAACACCCTGTCCAGAAGATTCTTTCCTTCAGTCCCTCATGGGACAGCTGCCTTTCTCACTTCCTGGAGAGCAAGATAAATTTGGGGAAGCAGATTTGCAAAGTAATATCAAGAAAGTAATAGTAAGAATAAATCATGTCAGTGATATCCGGTCTCTAAGATCTATCCTCAAACCCGGTAGGGCTCCTCATAGGAAGTAAACAACAGAGATGGCAAAGTGTATTCTGAACCTTCCCAAAGCTGATCTCTGCTCCTAAACCCTCCTTTATAAAAATAAGAAACAATTTTGGGAACTTATTGGGAACTGATGTGCTGGTCTTGCTCCTTCCAGCCTCACCCCTAGTTCATCAAATGCATACTTCACACTGATGCCAGTTTAGTCTTCCCCATGCTCAGATCCCATCATATCCCATCATACCTCTACTCACAACTCTACAATGGTTCCCTAATATCTACCAATGGGTAAAATGCTGGGCTTGGCATCAGGGAGACTTGCATTAAATTCCAGCCTCAAATATTTACTAGTTGTGTGACTCTGGGCAAGTAAATTGTTTGCCTCAGTTTCCTTGATTGTAAAATGGGGATAGCAATAGCACCTCCCTCACAGGGTTGTTGTGCAGATCATATGAGATGATATTTGTAAAGTGCCCACTACATGGTGGGCACTATATTAATGCTTATTCCTTTCCTTTCTCTCTCCCAAATAAAGTCCAAACTCTTTAGACTAAAATCAAAGTTCTCCACAATATGGCTCTACCTTATCTTTTCAGTCTTATTTCACTTATCTCTTCAAATTATGCTTCAGCCAAAGTGACTGCTTGCTGTCCTTCATACAGCTGCATGGTCCTGCCTGGTGCTTTGGCTGCTGCCACTCTTGGAGCCTAGAATGCTGCCTTTCCCTTAACTCCTGTTGAAATCCTCCTTAGCCTTTAAGACCTAGCTTAAATTCTACCTCCTCCATGAAGCCTTTCCTGATCTCCAGTCAGAAAAAGCTTTCCTCCCTCCTCTTCAGACCTCATCCAGCACTGTGCTATGCTCCTCATTCAGCACTGTACTGTGCTCCTCTAATGTGCCAATGTTCCATTTCACCATGAAGTAATCATAACTTTCCTATTAGGAAGCAAGATGGTGCAATGGCTAGAGTGCTGGGTCTGGAGTCAGGAAGTCCTGAGTTCAAATCCAAACTCAGACACTTAATGGTTGTAAGACCCTGGGCAAATTACTTAACCTCAGCATTCAGTTTTCTTATCTCTAAAATAGGGGTAATAATATCATCCAACTGCCAGGGTCATTGTAAGGATAAAATGAGACAAATATTTGTAAAATGCTTTGTAAACTTTAAAGAGCTATATAAATGATAGCTGTATTATTTATGCTAGGCAGAGGAATAAAACATTTTAAAAGCATTACTAAATGCCAATCACTGTAAGAGTAAGCTCTCTGAGGTCAGAGATAATGTCTTATCTCTCTTCTTATCTCTTTCAGTGCCTAGCGTAGTGTCCTCAATATTAACAATTGTTTGTTGAATTGCTCACCTCATAAGTGATGGTCTATGCCCAATCCAGCATAACCAAATGAGTGTCCCCTGTTTGAGCTGGCTCAACCAAGGGAGAAGCAGAGAAAACAAATGAGGACGCAAAAGGAAGACCCCTAAGGAGTATTTGGTCTGGACACAGGTTAGGGTCCTGGTTTGTTCAAAACTTCACTACAAGAACTGTCAGTGAGTTAAGGGCACAGGAACCTGAATTTTGCATCTGAGTTGCTTGCTTACCTCAGACCCCAGCATGTTCCAGACATTGAAAAAAGACAAGGCATCTGCATGGACACTAGGTTTTAACAGGTTAATCCAGAAGAGAAAACATAGGATCATGGGATTTAGAGCTGGAAGACCTTGTCATCTTACAGATGAGGAAACTAAGGTCCACAAAGGCAGAGCGAATTACATGAGGTCACAGAGCTGCTAAGTGGCAGAGGCAGATTCAGACACAGGTGTTAAGGATGCAAACCCAATATTCTATCCACTACACCAGGCTATTTGACTGGAGATCTCAGAGGCACAACCTCTATTTTTCTTGCCCAGGGCAGGCTTTTTAAGAGCAACTAGCTGGGTGGCTCTTGGGCCAAGATTTGAGGGAATGGGCAGTCTTGGAACCCCAGAGAAAAGATGATCCCTTAGGGGTAGGAGGTGTGGTTTGTCTGCCAAAGTCCTGAACCCTAATAAAAGTCTAGGTTTGGTTCCTGGAAGAGAGGTAGTTACCAGGATGAGTGGCTGGAGAACTCTAGCTCTGTGGTTGCAGCCCCTTGTCCAAAAGCTGAGGGATAACCCCTCTCTCCTCTGCTTTTCTTTGCTCTTTTCTAAAATAAGTACACATTACTTTTTTCTTCAGTTCCTGTCTTTCATTGACATCTTCAAACACTTTGTGTGGTGAAAAGAAGCAGGGAACATCACTTGCTCATTAAGTAGATGCCAAAGACTGATCAGTCAATTTAATTCAACTCAAATATTTATTAAACTACCCATATGCAAAGCACTGCTATTAGCTGCTGGTGACACAAAAATAGATAAAACACAGGACCTACTAATGAAGGACTTAAAATATAATAGCAGGGAAAGACATACCCAATTAACTATGATATAAGAGAAACTGTGATAACTGCAAAGGAAAGTTCCAGGTAAAGTGTTATAAGAAATCTGAGGAGGGAGGGATCAAGGCACCAAAGTAGGAGGTAACATCCAGCCAGGCATAGGGAGTCTACCTTTGGACACTGGACAGGACAGAATTGTGATCAGAACCCACCCTACTGACTCTTTGACTAAATTAGTTATTAAGTTTCCCTGATGCATAGGCATTTTTTGAATAGTGCAAGCTCTAGAAATCTGGGGATGGCAGCAGGTCAGTGTGGAAGAGAGGAATGAGCTGAAGGGTAGAACTATTCCCCTATTAGACTGTAAATAAACCCTCGTAGGCAGGGTTTGTTTACTACTCATCTCTGTACTTCTAGTGTCTCTGGCACAGTGCTTTGCACAGAGTAGGACCTATCTATGTATATAAATATATATATATGCACACACATACATTCACACATATACACATATTCAAATATACATATATATCTGAATTGCCATACACAGTTTGGGGTCTTAGAACCCAGTTCAGGCATTCTGACTTTTTGTCTGGGAGAGGATGAATGAGTTCCCTATCCAGAGGACAGAAAAATAATAGGATTTAGATCTCCAAGGGACGTTTGAAATCAATAATACCCTCGTTTAAATGATAAGAAAAATGACTGAGGTAAACTGGTGTTTGGGGTACCAGAAGGAAAATCAGCTTCCCTTCCAAATTCTCAGACCTCGGGAGCTACTTTGGAGTCCCTCCTTAGATTTCACAGCCCCAGTTCTTCAGATCCCACCCCATCCCTCTTAAACTGGGATTTTCCCTCCCCAAGACGCCTTTTTCCTTTGGACTGTACAATCAGCCAGCCCTATGTGCTCCCAGGGAATCAGACCTGACCCCAGACAGTGGCTGGAAATCTGCACCAACTAGTTTTGAGCCCCACCTCCCCCAGACCTGTTCCATCCGACAGCTCAGCTGCCTACCTAACAGGTGAGTCCCGCAGTCGACTCTTCGCACCCTCTTCTTCCTGGCATGGACGCTCCAGCTCCAGAATTGTGTCCTTGGGGTAGGGCCCGTCACTGACACAGGGCTGGAAGTGGGGAGTGGAGGAAAAGATCGCTCCATACCTACCCCAAACCGCTTCAATCTTGACCCCTCCTCCGCGCTAGAGCGGGGTGTTTACAATTTCGGTGCTGCGCTAGGGATTCGACGTTTGAAGTTGGGCAGGAAGTGGGGAGGAGGGGGCGGGGGGAGACGGAGGGGGCTGTGGGTTCCTGCTGTAGAGAGGTATCGTGCCCCTCTCCCTTCTACCCCATTACCCCCTCTCCAGAGACTGCTAACACCGCTGGGTGGGCAGGCAGTCTAGGGGCTGCCCCCGATTCAAACTCCCGGGTGCGCACAGTACCCGAGGGGACCCCGCCCCCTGGCTCCTGCTCTTCAGAGCAGAGGGGAGGGGTAGGGGGGAGGTGAAGGGGCCTTGCTGCCTCCAGGACAGCTCAAGCACAGGTGTGGGCGTGAAGGGAACAGAGTTGTCACCCTCTATGTAAGAAAGGGTTCGGTCTTGGTTTTAGAGAATTCAAAACCGTGTTTCCTCGTTGGTAAAGCAGCGACTCCGCTACCGCAGAGTACTCTGTAGTGGGCGCTGCATTGTCCTGGTCCAAAGGTGGTATGTGTCAAAAGACCTAGATTCGAGTGACGTCTGGCTTTGCTACTTATTTGTATATAATTTTGATCACATCGCTGCCCCTCTGGATTGCAGTTTTCTCTTGTCAAATAAAAGAGTTAGACGAAATGACCTCTGAGGCCCCTTCCTGCGCTGAATACTATGGTCCTAATAATAAGGTTCCTTCTAGTTCGTATATTCTGCGGTTTTGTGAATGAAGGGATTGATCTCCAAACCCTAAAACAGCTGCAGACTTCGTTGTGAAGGGGTGGAGCTCTTACTAGTTACTGAAGTCTTAGTAACCTCTAGGACGCAGGGCTGAAAGTTTGGGATCCAAACATGCTTGTTGATTGACTGCTGGCGAGGGGTGTGGTTTCAAGAGTGAAGTGGAAAGAGAATTGGAAACTTGGATCTCTGTCATCTTGTGCACCTCACTTCTTCCAGGCCTCGGTTTCCAGTTCTGTAAAATGAGGGGGAGGGGGGAAGAGAAGGGCTGAACTAAATGATTTCAAAGGTCCCACTAAAGCAGAAGTTTTTTTTTATTATTTATTTAGTATTTTACTTCCCCCTAATTACATGTAAAAACAACTTTTAATATTCATTTAAAAAATTCTCTCCCTCCCTCTCCACCCCCCTCATTGAGAAAGTAAGCAATTTGAAATAGGTTATCCATGTGTAGTCATGCAAAACATATTTCCATATTAGTCATATTGTAAAAGAAAATATAGACCAAAAAAAAAAACCTCAAGAAAAAGTAAAAGAAAAAAAAAAGTATGCTTCCATCTGTATTCTGACACCATGAGTTTTTTCTCTGGGGATGGACAGCATTTTACATCATAAGTCCTTCAGAATTGGCTTGGATCATTGCATTGCTGAGAATAGCTAAGTCATTCACAGCTAATCGTCCTACATTATTACTATTACTGAGTACAATATTCCCCTGGCTCTACTCACCTCACTCTACACCTGTTCATGTAAGTCCCTCCAGGTTTTTCTGAGAGCATCCTGCTCACCATTTCTTATAGCACAATAGTATTCCATCACAATCACATAAGACAATTTGTTCAGCCATTCCCCAATTGATAGGCATCCTCTCAATTTCCAACTCCCAACTCCCTGCCATCAGAAAAGAGCCGCTATAAATATTTTTGTACACATAGGTCCTTTTCCGTTTTCTTTTTCTTTTTTGTTTAATCTCTTTTGGGATATAGACCCAGTAGTGGTATTTCGGTGGTAGTGGTGTAGTGGTTTCATAGCCCCTTGGACACAGTTCCACATTGCTCTACAGAATGGTTTAATCAGTTTACAACTCCACCAACAGTGCACTTATGTCTCAATTTTTCCACATCCCATCCAACATTCGTCACTCTCCCCCTCTGTCCTATTAGCCAATTCAATAGGTGCGAAGTAGCACCTCTGAATTTTTTAAATCAGCAGAGGTTTTTTAAACTTGGGGTTCATGAACTTGATTGTTTTAACTTTATTATCTGTATTCAACATAATTGGCATCCTTTGTATTCTTACGCATTGAAAAACATGATTCTGAGAAAGGGTCCGTGGCACCAAAAAAAAAAAAAAAAGGTTAAGAATTCCGTGCCCTCAAGTCCAAGATCTGTGATCCGGGGACTCTGATGTCTCTCTGCTCTACGAGGCTATGAAGCTGCTGGGGTTTAAATGGTGAACGAAACACATCTAAGCTCCCTTTTCCTACTGTCACCTGGGGGCGCTTTTCCCAGGCTTTCTCTCCCAAGTACACTAATAAACCTGTATGCTCTCTTTCCTCCCGTGGAAGGCCACATGAGCCACAGACTCCTGACACACCCACCACAACCGCCCATCTTTGAAAACTGGAGCTGTGAGCCCGATCCGTCTCCCATCTCCTCCTCCTCCTCCTCCCTGCACCACCCCAGCTTCCCTCTTGAACTACAGTTCCCAGGCTGCCCTGCGCACACGCACATTCTCAGGTATCAAGATGGCTGACACAGCTGCAACTGCTGGAGCCGGTGGCTCAGGAGCGGTAAGGACTAGAGGCGGGGGGATCATGGACATGAGGGCTTAGTCCCTGGTCTCAGCAAAACGAAGCAACACAAAGATTGGGGGATGAGGGGTCCCTGGAGTCAGTTCCCGCACTGAACGCCTCTGGCCGGAGCAAAGGCCTCACCTTCTGGCATACCCCTCCCCCCACCTCCTCTAGCCCTTGGCGACCGGAGTTCTCAATTGGCTAGTTCCCAGTAGGAGGCGGGGAGTCGGAGAAAGCGCCTAATTGGCTCAAGCTGCCCTCCTTCTCTCTTTATTGGCCCGACTTTTGGCCAATCGAAAAACCAGCTGGTGGGGGATTTAAAAGGACATTTCAGCGTGGTTCTTGTTATAAAAAGCCGTTTGCTACCTTGGTGTTTTATACTAATTGGCCCTGTGATAGCTGAGAAGAATAATTACTATTTCTATTGTTATTCAGTCGTTTCATTCGTGACTGGCTCTTCGTGACCCCATTCGGGGTTTTCTTGGCAAAGATACCGGAGTGGTTTGCCATGGCCTTCTCCAGCTAATTTTACAGATGAGGAAACTGAGGCAAACGGTGAAATGACTTACCCGGGGTCACACAGCTAAGAAGTACCTGAGGGCTGATTTGAACTCAGATTTTTCTGACAGCGGGCCCCAGGGCTCCATCCACTGGGCCACCTAGGCCCCACGTCTTTTCATAATATCAAAGACTTTTAGCGCTTGGAGGGAACATAGAGGCAACGAAATTCAACCCCCTCCTTTTTAAGAGTTGCTCATTGTATGTGAAGAGGGGAGCTCTGAGACTGAGGGAGAGGCGTTATTCTGGGGTATACTTTGAGGGAAGGAATCATTAGCCTCCTGGATTCAGCACTTCTTGAACACTCAATAATTAAGCACAAATTAAAAATTAAAATTAAAAATTAAGCCAGAAGCACAAATCTAAACAGCAGAGTTGTTGAATGAAAGTTTTGATAGGCATTTATCATTCATCTCCCGTCTGTCATGGATGGTCAATTTTATATTCTTAAAGTGTGTGATTTCACCTTTTTTCCCATGGTTGTTGATTCATATAGAGGTCAGGAAGCAAGCAGGCCACCACCCCTGCAGACAACTACTACCTGGCACGTAGGCGGACCTTGCAGGTAGTTGTGAGCTCCTTGCTGACGGAGGCTGGGTTCGAGAGTGCTGAGAAAGCATCGGTGGAAACATTAACCGAGATGTTACAAAGCTGTGAGTATGGAGGAATACTAGCTGCCTTTTGCAAAGTTAGTCCATTAAATTTTTTTGAAAGTTATGTACTTACCTCCATGAAACTTCTTTGTGTTGGAGGTTGCCTTGGATTCTCAATGGCTATGCTAATGGATTATAAACACTGGCAGTTCTTAGAATTTTCAGATTCTGAGCTAAGCAGTGAACTTTGGTCCAGCAATGTACTTAGTTAAATTTGGATGTACTCAGCAAAAGCTTGGTCAATAGATAATTTATTTTTCTCTAATAGCAGCTTGTGAAGCACCTAAGGCTTAGTGAATGAATGAATAAATACACATTTATTAAACGTTTGCTATATATGCCAAGCATTCTGTTGAGCACGAGGGATACAAATACAAAAAGTAAGGCAGTCCCTGCTCTCAAGAACTTACATTCTATAATAAAGAGAGCTAAATGGGTTCATTCTGTATATAAGAGGATGGTGGGCAGTTAAGGGAGTCTTGGAGTGGGGAATTACTGGAATGGTGAGTTGATCAATTAACATGTCCCTTCCAAAAGGTGTGGTACTATTGATTACTGTTCCCAGTTAAGAAGAAGAAAAAAAAAAAGGAAGGTGGAGGGAAGGTATTTGTGCATTGGCCAGACAGTTGGCAAGGTGACCAGCGTGGATGGCTGGATGGAATGTAAAGCATAGTCTAGCTTGCTTTGTTCTGGGGCTTTGCAAATATAGCAAGATATTTCAGCCTCTGGATAGAAATCCCAAAGCTGGGTAGATTAATTTCCCTAAGAATTGGGTTCATGGCTTCTGGAGTGCAGAGGTGCAGAAAGCATTTATTAAGTACCTTCTAAATGCCAGGTGCTGTGCTCAGTGCTGCATATACAAAAGAGGCAAAAGATAGTCCCTGCCCTCAAGGAGCTCATATTCTAATGGAGACAACATTCAAACAAATATGTACAAACAATACAGGATAAATAGGAAATAATTAAGTGAGTAGAAATAGGAACAGGAGAAATAGAAAATAAAAGACAGAAGGGCTAGAATTTAGAGGGGTTGGGAAAGCCTTCTGTAGAAGATAGGATTTTAGTTGAAGCCAAGGAATCCAGCAGGTAGAGATGAGGAGGGAGAACATTCCAGGCAGGGGGAACAGTCGGAGAAAATGACCACAGCCAAGAGATGAGTGTCTTATTTGAGGAACAGCCAGGAGGCCAGTGTCACTAGATGGAAGAGTACGTGTTGGAGAGTAAGGTGTGAGAAGGCTTAAAAGATTAGGGGTGGAGGACAGATTTGAAGGGTTTTGAATGAAGACAGGATTTTGTATTTGATCCTGAAAGTAAGAGGGAGCCAGTTGAGTTTATTGACTAGGGAGGTGACATGGTCAGATCTGCACTTCAGGAAAA